AGGGTTTAGGGTTAGGGTTTAGGGTTCACGTGCAGGTGAGATGCTGCGGCAGTTCGCCACGCCCGCAGCCACTCCAAGAGGCACTGAATTTCCTCACTTTTTATTTTCTCATGATGAAAAGTACTTGGCGAAAATTGGAGACAAAGAATTGTGCATTTACGCAATGGACCCCAAGGACAACTTCCCGGACCAGGCCGCCGACGAGGTCCGAGGGTTTAGGGTTTAGGGTTTAGGGTTTGAGGGTGGTGGAGAGCCGCGAGGGGCTTCGAGCGCCAGCACCGTCGCCTCCAAGCCTGCGGCGGGGGGCCCGGCAGCGCAGGCGGTGGGACCAAGCGTTCAGGGTTTAGGGTTTAGGGTTTAGGGTTTAGGGTTTGCGTTGCAGGACGTTACTCCTGTGAAGTTGCTGCGAGATGAAAAAGGCCACTTCTCAGCCCTCAAGTATCCCGTCGAAAAGTTTGAATGGTCTCCAGGAGACAACATTGTTTCTTTGTGGATAAGGGGTTCTGACGACACTCCAGGTGGGATTTAAACCCTAAACCCTAAACCCTAGTTTTGGCTGCTGGGGTTTGCGCTTCGTCTGAGGCCCTTGAGGAGCTGCGGACTCCATCACCTCCCCCATAGGCTTTCAGCCTTCTCTCTGCGATGCGCCTGAATGCTTTAAACCCTAATTGGGCACAATTAGGGTTTAGGGTTTAGGGTTTGGGAGCACAGAGACTGAGGGGTTGAGGGAGACAAACGAGGCATATGTGTCGGGTGCGACGCATCCCTAACGACGCCCCTGATGAACTGTCACAACAACCATTTAGGGTTTAGGGTTTAGGGTTTAGGCGCGGAAAGAGCGCTTTTTTAGACGGATTGGGTGTGAGGGTTTCGAGGCTCCCCAAAGAGTTGCGTATGGATTTTCGGAGTTAAAGAAGGGTTTAGTGTTTCGCCGAGGGTTTAGGGTTTGTTTCCAGCACCTAGGATTGTGGCCTAGGGTTTAGGGTTTGAGCGAGGGTTTAGTGTTTGTTCTGCTCCCCAGGGCGTCTGCGCCTTCGCGGGCGCGCCTTGCGGGCCGAGGGCCCAGGGTTTAGGGTTTAGGGTTTAGGGTTTGGGCGTAGGGCGGTGGAGGTTGCGAGTGGGCGGCAAGGGTTTCGAGTCTGCGCTTCGCGGGCGCGCGCTGCGTGCCGAGGACCGAGGGCTGCGGGCGGAGGGTTTAGGGTTTAGGGTTTAGGGTTTAGGGTTTGTTGCAGGGCGTTTGATCCTGGTGGAGGTGCCGAGTCGGCGGGAGCTGGCGAGCAAAAACGTGTACAACGTGAAGGGCGCAGCCATGCACTGGCAAGGCAACGGGGACTTCTTGTGTTTGCGAACAATGGTATTTAAAAAAACTGGAAAAAAAGGAAGAAAAGAATTCAGCCAACTCGAGATCTTCCGCATGCGCGAAAAGGACATTCCCGTCGACAACCTCCAGCTCAACGACATCGCTGTCCAGCTCCACTGGGAGGAGGGACCCAGTAAACCCTAAACCCTAGCCGAAACCCTAAACCCTAGCCGAAGCCCTAAACCCTAGCCGAAACCCTAAACCCTAGGTCGGGTGCCCGGAAACGTAGCGGCGGTTCTGGGCCTGCAGGGGGAAGTGCAAAGCGTGATGGGGTCGGGGGGCTGCTGAGGGTTTGGGGGAGCATGCGGATGCCCTTATTTCGGAGGGTTTAGGGTTTAGGGCTTAGGGTTTAGGGTTTGGCGCTGGGTCTTCAGGCAAGCGGTTCGTGCTCGTCGTTCAAGAAGAAGGGACAACCAACCAGAGCCTGCGCTTCTTCCGCGTCGCCGACGCCGCTGAAGGCAGTAAGGGCTTCGAATTTAGGTTAGGGGTTTAGGGTTTAGGGTTTGGAGCTAGGGTTTGGGGTTTGTGCGTAGCCTTCACTCGCAGACACCGACTAGGACTTGACCGAGCCTGACCGAGCCCTCAAAAAAGCGGCTGTTTGGGGTCGACGGCTGAGGGCTGCACTTGAGGGTTTAGGGTTTAGGGTTTAGGGTTTGGGCGTTTCAGACGTGGAGACGAACAAGAGAGACACGATAATGACTCATTCTTTCGACATTCCCAACTACATGAACTTTTTAAAATGGTCTCCTTTTGGATCTTATTTTGTTTTGGCTTCTTTGAGCACTTACGGGACAGTAATGTTTTGCCACTTGAACGACCAGGACAAAGTTGAGGTCCGCCACCCAAACCCTAAACCCTAAACCCTAAACTCTAAACCCTCGTCGCAGGGCTGCTGCTGCTGCGTCGTTCGCGGCGCCTCGCACGGCCCTCTCTCCCGTGGCGCGTCTGCTGCGGCCTGCGGGCGGCGGGGTGCTGCGCGCGCGGCGCCGCAAACCCCAAACCCTAAACCCTAAACCCTAAACCCTTGCGCTGCAGGTGCTGCACCAAGACGAACACTACATGTGCAACGAAGTCCGCTGGTCCCACTGCGGAAGGTACTTGGCCACTTGCGTGGTTATGCCTCTCGTCAGCGGCGCGCAGGCCTACAGGTTTGGAGACAACACTGGCTTCAACATCTGGACTTTCCAGGTGAGGGTTTAGGGTTTGCGAGGGTTTAGGGTTTGCGAGGGTTTGGGGCATGCGGGGGTTTGGGGTTTGTTGAGGGGTTGTTGCTACGCGGATGCGGACGAGTAGGGGTACGGGCCTGCTGCCGCGGCGGGTTCTAGGGTCTAGGGTTTAGGGTTTAGGGTTTAGGGTTTAGGATTTTGCTGCAGGGGAAGTTGCTGGAAAAGACCAAGAAGGAAAACTTCTACCAGTTCCTCTGGAGGCCTCACCCCCCGACTTTGCTGACGGAGAAGCAGCTCGATGACATCAAGAAGCGAATGAAGGAACACAGGTTTGTCTTTGAATCTTAGGGTTCAGGGTTTAGGGTTTAGGGTTTAGGGTTTAGTGTTTGGTTTTGCTCTCTCTTCTGGAGCTCACACGTGGCCCAAGGCTTGGGGCCGTGCCAGCTGCAGCCGCTGGCCGTGTGGGGCTTGGGCAAAGTAGGGTTTAGGGTGTAGGGTTTAGGGTTTAGGGATTAGGGTTTAGGGTTTAGGATTTAGGGTTTTGGGTGCAGCAAGAGGTACGAGGCGGAGGACGAGAGACTCCGCAGCGAGAAACGCCGAGCCTTCTTGAAGCAGCGGGAAGAAGAAAGTGAAAAGTTCCAGCAGATATTGGATGAGCTTGAGGCCTGGAAGATGAAACATGTGAGGGTTTAGGGTTTAGGGTTTAGGGTTTAGGGTTTAGGGTTTAGGGCTTAGGGCTTGGGGTTTCGAATGATTTGTGGGGTTCGGGGTCCACTACTCAGCAGAGCAAGTGGCGCTTGGGCCTTACAGAGTGGCATGTCGGGCTCTCCCATCCAGGATTAAGGGTTTAGGGTTTAGGGTTTGGGGTTTAGGGTTTCGGTTATGTTTCGGGTTTTGCTGCAGCCCAAGTACGAAGAATGGTGCAGAGCCCAGGAGGAATTCGACACGTGGTTTGAGTGGGAGTATAAGGAGGAGATAATAGAGGAGGAGCTGGACGTGAAGCAAGAAGTTATTTGCTAGGCAAACCCCAAGCCCTAAATTAGGGTTTAGAGTTTAGGGCTAACAGGGCGCAGGTTTGAGGGTCGCCTGGCACGGCGGAACTCTGGGAACCCAAACGCAAAACCCTTGCGGCACTGAAACCACAAAAGGCAACATATATGCCTAAACACCCTGATTTCAGGGGTTTAGCGTTTAGGGTTTAGGGTTTAGAGATAACTTTTGACACCTAGGTCTCTCCATGACGGCGGGGCTGTTGAAGAAGTGTTTTGAGGTTTTTGTCTGCTGTTTGTCTGAAACCACCCGAAACCCTAAAACCCTAAACCCTAGATGTTATATCCAAAACAGCGTGTAGTGGTTGCTCCAAACCCTAGCACGGCGCAAACCCTAAACCCTACCGCAGCATGACGCCAAACCCTAGCAGGGTTGCGAGTCGGAGGAAGGATAAACCCTAGTCGCTCTTTTCATTCTGCAGAAAGCACGAGCTGCAGAACGGCTCTAGGATCGCCAAACCCTAAACCCTAGAAGGGTTTAGGGTTTGGGGTCTCGAGGTGACTTGCTGCGGCAGCCGAGCGGCCTTCGGCGGCGGTCGGAGGAGCCCAAACCCAAAACCCTAAAATGGCGGAAAGAAATCTTGAAATATTTGAAATTATTTATTTAAATTATAAAAATTGATAAAAAGTGTAAAAACAAATGCCTTAAGGGAGGCAGGGAAACACAAAAGGCACAATGGCCGCTCCACGTAAACCCTAAACCCTAAACCCTCAAACGGCTGAATGGGCTGCTGGGGTTTAGGGTTTGTGAGGCCTTTCGTTTGATATGGGCACCTCAAATGTTTAGCCTTCTGTTCATTTGTTCTGGGATTTAGGGTTTAGGGTTTAGGGTTTCGGGTTTAATGCTTCAGCAGCACACCTGCGGCAGCGACGACTGCTGTGGGATTAGCACCAACCCAAAACCTTAAACCCTAAACCCCAAACTGTGGATCTTAATTTTTATTCCTAAACGTTGGAGTTCCCAGGACTTCAAAACCCCCAACTCTTGCTGCTGAACCCTAAACCCTAAACCCTAGACCCTTAGGGGGACTTCGCTGGCGATCTACTCCGATGCTGGGGTTAAGAGGCTACACACTGCCCACCAAACCCTAAACCCTAAATCCTAATGTCTCCTTTTTTAAACAGACTCGGAAGAACCGGCCGTGGGATGCAGCAGCAGCTGTTGCTGCTGCTGCTGCTGCTGCTGTCTTCACTGGTGCTTCAGGTGCGATGCTAGGGTTCCTCTTGCTGCTGCTACTGCTGCTGCTGCCGCTTCTGCTGCTGCTAAATCCGTTGATTTTGCTGCTACTGTTTCTGCTGCTGCCTCTATCAATAACACTGCTGCTGCCGATAAAGTGTCGACACTAGGGTTTAGAGTATGGGGGTGAGCGCCTAGGATTTAGGGTTTACGGCATAGGGTTTAGGGTTTAGCATTTAGGGTATTGGGTTTAGGGTTTAGGGTTTAGGATGTCCTCCTTTTGCTTGTGATTCTGCAGAACGGATCAAGCGAAGGTGAGCGTAAGAAAATGCGCTGGAAGCCTAAACCTA